CTAAATTATTACTAAATATACACCTAACTAATATAAAACTTATCAAACTTAAGTAGTACCGATTTAAGGCGTTGTGGGGTGTGATTTTATTTCCCCATACGTAACCGTACTCCTGAACTCGAATCTCTTAACCGCAGACCATATATCGGTTCTAACCCTAAGGTTAGAGCCGATTCGAAGAGTGCTCGATCCACTCCAAGTAAGATCGATGGCGACTCCCAAAAAGCCAACGCGACCCCGACGGATCCCGGAGGGACGGTTGCAACAGTTTTTTTTTTTTTTTTGCTTATTTTGTGTTGGATTATTTGTTTTCTGTTTTGAAAATGTTTGAGAACTATGTGTGGGATATGGGGTGGATTGGGGGATTTTGAGAATCGTGAGTAGCTTGGGCCTTTGGCTCAGGGGAGGAGCTGCATTGTAGCTAGGGTGGGGCCGCCCCGGAATTGGTCCCGGCCCCTAGGTTTTTAAGGATATTTAGTACAAATTTTATAAGTAGAACTTGTTCTGTAAATTTTGTCATGTAAGAGTTATGTGGTCTAATGGTAGCCAAGTTTAACTTGTGTTTTAAAGCACAGGGGTTCGATCCACATTGGTTATCTAATTTTTTTGTAATTATTTTCGCCCCCCCCCCCCCCCCCCCCCGGTCTCTGATTGATACAAACAAATCTTGGATAAAAAAATTCCTATTAACACTTATTCAGATGGATGGGTCATCCGAATGACCCACACCCCACTTTCACATGACAAAAAATTGTTTCTTATTTATAGTATCGAATATCCATAATATTTTATAACCGCACCACACTCCGACCATGGTCTTTTAAAAGGAAAAAATAATATTTTTAATCTGCTACTATTAGCTATTATTTTGTGTAATGTCCATCAATTATAAATTATTAACCATTAATTGTATAAAGGTCATAAAAAGCGTCAATTTTCAATACAACTGGTTGATGTAGTAATGAAAGATTTTATACTTCTGTCAAATAAGTGAAATCCGGATAAGTAAAGAGTTTAGGTGTCTAAGAATATGTGGTTAATGACTTTGTTTTTTATCGACGAATACTTCATTTATAGTGGTCAAATGAATATTTTATATGAGTACTAATTTTTTTACATGTCATGAGTACTAGATAGATCCCCACGAGACAAAGTGGGAAGTGTTTTTGTTGTAGGATATTGCAAAGAGTGAGCCCAAGCAAGGGCATGACGAAGCCCAATAAAGACAAGTTTGGTTACCCAGAGGGAGAAGCCCACGAATGGGCCTGCCGGGCCCAGTCCAAATAGGATGAGGGGCGCATAGAGACAAGATACGGAAGATCCCAAAGAAGTCCAGGATGTCAACTGTCCCCCCACCCCCAGACTCCTGTCAGTTGTCAGAGGACTGACAAGGCGGTTGGGGCGCTTGACAAGAATAAAGGTAAGAAGCATTAAATGCGATGCTAACGTGGAGGAACTCGATCTCGGGTTGGGTGAGTATATATAGGAGCGGTAAATAGCATTTACACAGGTTAGACTATCTCACTAAAATCTAGAGCATACCACTTCTCTCTCTAAAACTCAAACTGACTTGATCGTCGAAGGACTAACGGGCCCGTGCGCCCTCCTTCGTGTGCGTGTGTGCAGGTCAGGCGCCTTGGACACATAGAGCGGGGATAAGGTGGGTGTGAAGTTGGGCTCCAAGGTATCCGGTCTCAAACCGTTTTAAAATGCTAGTTCTTGTAAATTTGCTTGAAATTTATTTGAAATTTATTATAAATGTTAGTTACTTAGCCTAATGACTAGCCGTATTATTGTTTTTGCGGGTTGACCCACACCCAATCTCACCCAACCAACTCAACCAGAAGAAGAATGTCGGTGAATATCGTGTCTTAATTCTACCAACTCGTTAATAAATGAGTGGAACAATTTGAGGTCAAAACCATCCAACCCACCCATTGCCCAACTCCTAGTCTTTAGGAAGAACAAGAATAGTTTAAAGAAGTTATCGGTCTAATATTATATTATGTAGTTTCAACAAAAGGAATAATTGGCAAATCACAAAATATTTTCATAAAGCTAATATCTCCCCCTCTCCCTCGTTTCTAAATGGAAAATGATATATGTTTATGCCAAAATTAAACTTGTATCATATCGGTTAAATCGAAGTGATTAAACGACTCTATAAGGTCAACTTGATTATAACAATTAAAATCAATTCAGATGAGTCTCATTGATTGGATTTTCATTTTTGGACCCATGACACTTATGCCATCATGTATGCGTCACCCTTAACCATAAATTCCCAAATTTGGCTAAGTTTTGGAGCACCCTCCTTGTGTTATTAGGGAGGTAATCAACATACCCTCTAGTGTGATGATGCCTGATAAAATTTGGCTAAGTCTGGAGAATGATGGCAATGTGAAATATTTTCAAATTTGGTTGAGTGTTGGAGCACCTCTTCTTGTGTGATTGGGAGGGGTGTAATCAACATACCCCTTAGTGTGACGAGGTGAGGTAAAATTTGGCTAAGTGTTGGAGCACCCTTCCTGATGTGATTAGAGGGGAGGGGAATCAACATACCCCTAGTGTGACGAGGTGGGATAAATTTTGGATAAGTCTGGAGAATGATGACAATGTGAAGTATGATGCAGTATACCCCCTAGAAGATGAAATATGGCCAAATTTGGCTAAGTGTTGAAGTACCTTCACAGTGTAATTAGGGAGGGGAGGGGGGGAAATCAACATACCACCCTTGTGAAATATCATGGGGTGAAATATGAATAAGTATGGAGAACCTACCTTTGTGTAATTAGGTGCAGGTTTGGCGATGGAGTACCCCCTAGTGTCATGAGGTGGGGTGATGATATCAAGTGGCAAGATAGTAACCTCCTCCACTCTCGTGGTCATAAGTGGTAGATTATTTTTGCCATTTTAACCCATGTAATTCGAATACACATCCACAAGGGGCAAGGGAGTCTTCATGCCTTAACCGTTTTTCTCATTCGAAAGCTCGAGCTAAGGAGGAGTTATCAAGAAGAGGGTTCAAGACTGAAGAGGGTGACACAGCCAATGCCAGGGCATTGTTAGAGCAGTCGAGAGGATAACCGTCACTCCACGTAAGCTCAATAGTTTCATGAGGCATTTACTTCTGATGGCTATAAACAGGGGATGAAGAATATAGAGCAGGGGTTCGCAAAAATCACAACTCGACACCACTTGTCAAAGTTTATCCTTTTCTCTTTTCCTCTTCATATTTTAGCCATAGTCGTAGTTTTGGAGATCTCACCATACCTCTATAAGAGTAGGGATAATTTGATGTAGTCTTTGTCTCATGAGTTGTAGAAATATCGAACACCCTTGTTTGAACTGTGTTTGTTTAATCATTGTTCAAGAAGTCAAGGTGCGATCAATTCAATTTCAACACAAGTTTCTCGCCGGAAAACAAATTTGAAAACATGAGCCAAGTTGAAATATGACCAAATTTGAGAACCCCTCCTACTGTGTTAGAGAGGGGATGGGGGGGGGGGGGTAATCAGCATACCCCTAAAGTTTGATGAGGTGGGGTAAATCTAGCTAAGTATGAAATATGACCATATTTGGCTAAGTGTTGGAGTACCCCTCATGGTGTGATCAGGGGGCAATCAACATACCCCTAGTGCAAAACCATGGGATAAAATGTGGCTAAGTATGGAGGTTGTGGTGAAGAGGCCCCTAATGTGATTGGGGGGTGGGTCCTCATATACCCTCTTACTAGTGCAATAAGGTGAGGTTAAATATGATTAAGTATGGAGAATCTACCTTGGCATGACTAGGTGGGGTTTGGAGATGGAGTATCCGCCTATTGTCATGAGGTGGAATGATGACATCAAGTGACAAAGATGGTAACCTTTGCCGCTCTCGTGGTCATAAGTTGTGAACTATTTTTTCCATTTTGACCCATGTGATTCGAATACCCACCCACATGGGGTAATGAGGTTCTTCAAACCTTAACTGTTTTTCTCATTTGAAAACCCGAGCTAAGGAGGAGCCATTAAGGAGAGGGGGTCAATTCTGACAAGGGTGGTACATCCAATGTTAGGGCATCATCATAATAGTTGAGAGGGTAACCATCGCTCCTCGTCAGCTAAGAAGTTTCTTCAGGCAGTTAGTTCTGATGGCTATAAATATGAGGTGACAATGACCTATCAAGGGTTTGCCAAATTCACACCAGACAACACAATGTCAAATTTTATCATTTTATATTTTCCGCTACAAATTCAGCCATAGTCGTAGTTCTGGAGCTCTCGTTGAACCTCCATAGGAGTAGAGTTAATTTAACTTAGCTTTATTTCGTAGATCATTAAAAACATCGAACACACTTGTTTGAACTTTGTTCAATGAGGTGTGGACCGTAGTTAGTAATTGTTTGTTTATTAGTAAAAAATACAATCAATTTCATTTCAACACAATTTTTCTCACTGGAAAACAATCTCCCTCTCACAAACCTCCCTTATTTCTTCTTCTCCCTATTCCTAAATTCTAACATAATCCTCCATCAATTGTATCTTATATCTCTAGTTCCAAAGGTTCCTAAAAAAATATCCTTCAACACAAGTTAAATAATATTTTAACTAGACTCTGACACCAAGAACATTACATCAGTAACTAACCATATTTGGCTATTTGTCACAAGTAATTGCACACAACGATAGATAAGTTGCCACAAAAACTAGATTATTTCCCATAGTTAGAAAAATGAACTCTAAATCTCATGTTTAAAAGAGGATATGATCAATCACCATGCCATAGCCTTATGGTATCCTTGGTTAGTTCCAAACATTTTCCACAGCCTAATATCAGCCTGCCATTTTACTTAACTAGGCTTACCGATTAGCTTCTTGCATGTTTGCCTAAAAGCCCAAGCCAGGCTAGCAAATCCAGCCCATCTGTAACAAACCCTATCCGAAGATCTAAAGAAAGCCCACTTTTCCAATGCAATAGTTTCAGAACAAAGTACCCGCACACCTGTAAAATTACTTTTTCATGCACTATGATTTCCCACAACTACAACTTGGCCCCTTCCTTCAGCTGACTCTTCCCCTCTCATAAACCCTAAAATCAGATTTCCAGAGAATCGGAGTACACCGAGTGAGCTCATCTCTTCAATGGCGATTCTGGCGAGGACGAGGCCCCTGACCCGAACTCTTAATTCGATCAAGTCCATTTCCACCTTCACCTTCCTTTCCCAAGAACCGCAGCTGGCAGCCGAACCCGAAAATGTTCCCCCAACTCCACTCCCTCCGAACCCGGCCTCCGGCAGCCCTATGTACCAAGAGAATTGGCGGAGGCCCGTCCAGAGCCACGGCGTGGCGCTGCCTCAGTCGTTCAGCCCTTTCCAGCAAGCTCCCGTCGCCCGTATGCAGGCGATGTATCAGAGCTACGACGTGGGCTCGCTGCTGAACTTGTTCGCCGATTGGATGACGTCGCAGCGGTGGTCGGATATGAAGGAGCTGTTCGAGTTCTGGGTGCGGTCGTTGGATAAAAACGGCATCCCCAACAAGCCGGATGTAGATTTGTACAACCACTACTTGAGGGCCAATCTGATGATGGATGCTACTGCTGGCGATTTGCTTGATTTGGTTGCGCAGATGGGAGATTTCGATCTCGCGCCAAATACGGCTTCTTTCAATTTGGTGCTGAAAGCTATGAACCAGGCCAGAGAGACGGAGGCTGCAGAGAAGTTGTTGCAACGGTATGTCTGGGAGACTGTCTTTAGCAATTTTATGTGCTTAACTTTTTTCCGAGTCCCCATGAATTACTTCAACCGGTATGTAGTTCTGTTCATTTGAACAGAGCTTTTTTTGGCGACATACTAAGTTCTTATTTTAAACATGGGATAGTCTGTAGGTATAGTTGTTGGATATAAGTTTGGGAAATGGATGATCTCCACTTCTTACGTGTTCGTCCTGTGTGCCATATATATACAATTAACAAGATTGGTTCTTTGAGTTGATGAAGTTGTTGCCTTTCAAGTCTGTATAAACTGGCCAAGTTAACTTGGTATGAGATCGTTTGTCGGATTCCCAACCCCTAATCTGAGTAATGTTCTGGTTCCATAACGAAGGTCAGTTTCAGTTACTGTCTGATTGCATTTCTTGATGCTGGTGCTTATTAGGTCATCCGCGCAGCCAGCGCTGCTTCTAGGGCATGATCCTCTAAAACTTTGCTGAATCTATCGCACAAACCTTAGTTCCATGATTGTAAAGCTACATTGAGTATTATCCGTAAGCAAAAAGGCACCAGTTATTATTCCAACTTTCTGTAAATAAAGCAATGACTTTACCAGGGTGCATGATGGAGAAGTGAGCCATTGTATGTACGCATCCAATTGATATGATTATGGCTTAGAAATGCAAAGCTGGATCGCTCTTGGTATTTGTTGTAGATATATAAATATAATGTTGCCAGCCTTATAAAGGTTATCCTCTTAACTCATGACATTTTCACGGTTTCAGGATGGAGGTCACAGGGAAAGAATCTCAGCCAGATGATGAGTCATATGACTTGGTCATTAGCATGCTTTTCCAGACAGATCAAATTGATTCTGCCTTGAAGTATATCGAGAAGACGTTGAAAATGGGTGGCATGTTATCCATGGCAGTATTTAATAACTGTGTGCAGACTTGTATCCGCAAGCGGAGACTCGATGTATTGGCATCTATTATTGAGAAATGCAAGGTACTAACTTACAAAGGGGCCAATAATTGAACTACTTCCTTTGTCTTTAGATGTACTCTATACCCTTTGATTTTACAGTGAAATCATTGCATACATTTCTTGTGTCAGACAACGGATCAGAACAAAGCACTCTCCCCAACTTGGAACATGTGCTACAACATTGCTGAAGCTGCAATGGAAGGGGATAACAGTAACCTTGCATTCTATGCTCTGGAGTTCATGGCCAAATGGATAGCCAGAGGGGAGATTGCTCGTCCTGCTGTACTTCTTTCTGTAGATGAAGGACTGATTGTGTCAGCACTTGCCACTGCTGGCAGGACACACAGTCCTACTCTCCTAGATGCATCATGGGCAGTTCTTCGCCGTTCATTACGTGGTAACAAAGCTCCTAACCCCGAGTCATATCTTGGAAAGATAACTGCACATGCATCTTTGGGGAGTCTACAAAAGGCTTTTGCTACTCTGAATGAATTTGAGGCTGCTTATGGGAAGGCTGACCAAGAAATACAAGAAGAGCTATTCTCCCCCTTTACTTCCTTGCGACCATTAGTTTTGGCTTGCTCCAAGAATGGTTTCGAGACTCTTGACTTGGTAATTTTTTCACTTGGAAGTCAGCATTTAGTATTTATAACTGTTTCAAAGTTAATTCTTTCTTTCATGATAAAATATGGATCTAATATGTCCCATGATTCAAGTTTAATTTTCATGAATCCCGCAAAATTTATTTTCACTTGGTGTCTTAAATGTGCTTCTTTAAACTTTTGCCGCCAGGTGTACTATCAACTGGAGAACTTGAGCAAAGCTCAACCACCATACAAATCCGTTGCTGCTCTTAACTGTGTAATATTGGGGTGTGCAAATGTTTGGGACCTTAACCGTGCGTACCAGACATTTGAGGCGATTGGGCCTTCTTTTGGTTTGGCCCCTGATATCCACTCATTTAATGCACTGATGTTTGCATTTGGAAGGTCGAAGAAGGTAAACTTTATTGATAAAATCTTTGTTTTTTCCCATTCTTCTCCTGCATGTTGATAGAATTAGCTTTACTATGTATTATCCTGCCTGCAAGCATCTTGCCTTCACATGCTGATGGTTCAGCTTCCATGTGTTAACAGACAGATGAAGCTTTAAAGGTGTTTGAACACATGATAGGCTTGGGTATTAAGCCCAATGTAATGTCGTATTCATTGATCATCGATGCTCATCTCATCAGCCGAGATGTAAAAGCTGCTCTAATCACTATTGATCAGATGGTAAGTAAGGTAGTGTGTTTATTATCTTTTTGGTAGCATTTGGAAGATTAAACTATTAACTGCGTCGAACCTTTTTGGATGTACAGGTATCTGAAGGATTTGTCCCCACGAAGGAAATCCTAAAGAAGATCAGAAGACGTTGTGTACGAGAAATGGACTATGAAAACGATAAAAAGGTGGGATCTTTGGCTACACAGTTCAACATTAGGCTGGGTGGAGAGAATCGTAGGAACATGCTATTCAATCTCCAATATAGCACCGAGTTCGCTTGATGGGTACGTATCATTGTATCTTACAGGAAACAGACTCAAATAATTGAAACTGTGTTTTCACCAGCTATTTTTTGTTTTTGTACTTGTTGCAGGATGGCACATGAATGTTCTTGGTCAATCTTAGTTTACAAGCTCAACCTTGTTCTCTGTTCTTCGTTACATCAGTTCATGCTTGTAAAGTACCTGATTGTACTCTTCTTCAAGCGATGATTACTCACTAGAATCATCAATCCACAACAAAAAGCTCTGAGATGTGGTTTCTGAACTCTGGTGGCAGTGAGACATGGATTGCCAAGGATTTTGTAATAAATGGTAGGATAAATCTGTTGTTCTTTTGGATTTGAAGTTGAGTTACTGGCATCCTAGGATAACCTTTCTTACAGTAGAAAATGTTATGCTAGGTCAGTATAGTAATAGAAACAGGCTTCTCTTTTATACCCTGAATACATGGCTTTTTGCTAGTTGTTACCATTTCTGTGTTCTTTCCTTATATAATGGTTCACTGCTCGAAATGCTTGCCAAAGAGTAGAAGAAAGATTATAAGGAAGAGCTGTATCCTTGTCATTGCTAAAAACAACAGAGGGAAGAATTACTTGCAATTGAGTTGCCTTCGTTCGTTATGGTAGTAGGGAGGAAGAAATAATGTAAAAGGCTCATAATGGTTTGTATACAGATTCCGTGCCTTGATCATTGGTCAGAGTTGAAAGGGTCTCCAGTCTCTTGTTTATTTGTTCTGTGTTAGGTTGTCTCTAACTGTTAGTTTGATCAGAGACTGTTGGGTCATCTTTCCTTATGATGATGGTGGTTTAGCAGCTGCCTTCTGTAAAACAATGAAAATATGAGAGAGATTTTAGACAATTTCTCAATGTTGTGAGAACTGAGTCGGAGTTTGACCCGGTAATATGAACGGCTCGCACTTTAGTACTTCAATTGGTATTTGACCGCTAAAAAACTGTTAGAGAATCGGTAGCTTATAAATAATAATAGGGCAAATACAATATAATATCCATAACTATTATGGATCGGGGATTTATATCCTCAACTATTAATATACAAATTAATATCAATAATTACTGTTTCCTGTAATTAAATGGCTAGAACTCCATTATCGTGAGTTTAATTGTAACGGTGCCGGACACCAGCCGCCTCGTAGGATTCCACGTAGGATTTCAATTAACTAATAAATTTTTTAGCTTTCTTACCCCTTTTTCACCCTTGAGCATTTGAAATGTTCCCAAAAAAACCTAGGGCTGGCTAACGAGATACGATAGAGACGAAGTGAGGAAAGGTCGCCGCCACCATCATCGCGACCTTCATCGCCGTCGCTACCTTCACCACTGTCGCTTCCCGCCGTCGCAACCTTCACCCTCGTCACTTGTCGTCGTCACGACCTTCACAGCTTGTTCGATTGAGGAAGATTCCACGTCAGCAAAGAAGACTGGTTCGATTGAGGAACCATCCTAGTCAGCGAAGAAGACTGGTTCGATTGAGGAACCCTTTGTCTTCAAATCGCGAGGGTAAGTTCTTCTATTCTTCTAGTAACCCTGCCCCTGTCTGCCTATTTCCATCGTCAACTGGTTGGAATTAGGAAAGGGTTGTGCTAAAACCCCAGTTTGATACACGAATGGGATTTTTCTTGTCAGTAAGAAGAATAATGTATGCATTGGAGGGATCTTCTGGTTCAGCCAACACAAATGACGTTGTCGGGCCGCTGTGCCATTGTAACAGACCCTGCATCGTGAACAAGTCTGGTACTAGTAGTAATCCAGGAATGCAGTTTTATTGTTGTCCAAATTGGAAGGTAATTGTCTTTGTTTGTGACGTTGGGTTTGTTTACCTATGATATTCATCATAGTAATAACTTTATTTTCATTTGTAGACGAACGATTGTCGGTTCTTCCTATGGGTGGACAAGTATATGAGAAGGAATGGATCAGTGTGGTCTACACATGACGATGAGACAGTTGGTCTTAAGGCAAAACTTATGGAAGTAGAAGCAAGCAACAACAAGCTGTTAGAAGAGTTGATTAGAACTAGAGAAAGTCATGCAAGGTTGGTTTCCGAGCTGAGCAGAATGAGCAACATTATCTCTAGCTTTGACACCAAGATAACAAGGCTGATGTACTGTATAATTGGTGTTATAGTTTACGCTGCATTCTGTAGATTCCAGGGAGTTTGGAGGTGTAGCAAAATGTAAGCAAACACTTATGTAATGTTCAATTCCATTCTAGTTTGAGCAGTATCGTGATGTGTGGAAAACAAGTAAACTTCACTTTCAGTACTGTTTCGCACGATGTGACCACTAAGATAACAAGTAATATAGACACCTTGTACCAAAGCTAAATCGTTTCAAAAGAAGTTGGGACAAAATGTAGCGAGCCTGTACAGTATGCAAAATATGGTGAACCAGCTGGAATCACCTTACAACCCCTAGACCCTGTCTAACTTCTCCATCCACCACCAAGTTCCTATGAAGGTTCCCATTTCTTGATTTCTACATAAGGAAAACAAAGTTAAGGGTTCAAACACCAGAATATCATGTAAAGGTTCAAGGATTATATGGCATATGAGATTCTTACACGTGCTGGTGGGTTCAAATTCTCTGGACAACTCCTTGCATTATGGGCCGTTGACGACATTTAGAGCAATGCATAACCCTCTAAGAATACCACACAAGACACCAATCAATCACATTCTCAAAATATTCAAAATATCACATGAACAAATGGCATACCTTTTGACGGGTTGATCCTTCAGCCTGCTGCCCTCTACCCCTGCCGCGGTTTGATCCTCCAGCCTGCTGCCCTCTACCCCTGCCACGGTCAAAGCCTGCTGCCCTCTACCCCTGCTGCGGTTTGATCCTCCAGTTTGTGGGTTGGGGCATTTTCTCACGTTGTGCCTTGTACTCCCACAGTTTGAGCAATGCAACAACACTCCTTTTTTTGACATTCCTGTACCCGAAGGCCTCCCATCCTTGTGCAACCTTTTCTTAAGTTCACCTGCTTCCCTTCTCCTTTTCTTTTTGGGTCTCCCTAGCATTGCTTTTTGCTTTGGAGGGTATAGTGGATACCCTTCAGCCCTAGGCCATGCTTGCTGCCCCACAAGACATGGAATTCCTACTTTGTAAACTTTAGCAACAGTAGGTACAAAGTAGAAAGGATCCACGTAATCTTCCAAGTGCAACCTCATTAGCCCAATAGCATAGAGTACATGGCAACAAGGGAGACCACTTAGGTCCCAAGCACCACATGTACATGTACGATTCTTCAAATCGACAACAAACGTTGAATTCCCAAGTTTTACCTCTACCATGTGCTCGCTGCTGGCTTGAGAAACACACTTCCTTGCATCTTCATCCTTTTTCAGTATCTCACTCATGGGACGTGGGCAAATCAAACCATGCATCCTTTCAAACTTCTTGTGCTTCTTCCTCATCATCACCATAATATGAGTTCTGATCCCTCTAACATCTCAATAATCCTATATTCTCTGTACTTAACAACCACATTGTTCTAACTTTCACAGATATTTGACTCCACTGAATCTGACTTAGGCACTCTAGATAGGAAAGCACGGCAGAACGTTTTTGGATCTTGTTCCATAAAGTCATTGTAAGGTGTCATTTGAGATTGCGTACCTTGGAACACTTCCATCTTTTGGGTGGCAGATCGAAAATCATGTTCATTAGTCGCATAAACAGCCTCCCAATACACTCCTCTCATGTGCTCGTTCTTCACCTTAGTCTTCCAATTAGCAAAGACGTGCCGGGCGCACTTCCTATGCTCCGCAAATGGCTTGACTTCATGAATTGCTTCAACTAGTCCCTGAAATTACGTTGTAATATTAGAATGCAGGAAATATGATGTTCGAATGTAAAAAATCATGTACAGAAATCATCACTTACCTTTTGTTGGTCTGAAATTACACTCCAACCATTTCCATCACCGAATCCTAACTCTTCTTGGAGAGTGTTCAGAAACCAAGTCCAAGAACTCCTATTTTCCCCCTCAACAACGACCCACGCGAATGGAACAATATGGCTCTTTCCATCCTTGGCCACAACAGTGATTAACATCCCAGACACTTCACCTTTCAAAAAGGCACCATCGAGAGAGAAAATGGGGCGACAACCAGCCAACACACCTTTTCTAAGTCTAGAGAAACCGATGTAGATTCTCTTGAAATACACCTTGTCCTCTAATACAGGATCTGGATCAACCTTGAGAAAAAACCTTCCTTCTTCATCTGCTGCCATTAGATCAACCACATAAACCCTCAGTTTGTGGTACTCTTGTACAAGTGTACCATTCATCGTCTCCTTAGCAATAGCCTTAGCGCCATAACAAGTCCTTACCTCAACGTCGACACCCAAATCTCTTTTGACCTCCATTGCAATTTGAGGACCCTTCCAATCTGGATTGCTCCTGAAACGGTCAATAAAGTGTTCCGCAATGAAGCGAGCAGTATCTAGGTTACCTCGTGTCGACCTAGTACATGAGTGAGCTAATCCAACCCTTCTCACCATGAAATACGACCTGTCCGCCCACCATGCACCGTAGACCCTCCATTTACAAGCAGCATCTTTACAATGGAACTCCACCCGACGAGGTTCACTCCGATTACACCACACACTGTCCCCAACAACAACTGCATGCTTGGCGATAGCTTTCTTGAAAGCTTCAACAGTTAGAAACTTAAGTCCCACAAGAAACTCTAGCTGTTTGTGATCGCATAGTGGATCATATAATGGAAGATTATCCATCACGTCCTCGGGTTCTTCATCATCTAATACATGATGAATTCTGTGTGTAGGTGTTTATGCTTCATCCGGATCATAGTCTTTGTCAGACTCATCCTCCTCACCAGATCCCACAGCAGCACGAGGTTGGTTTGCCTCTTCACCAAAACTACTATCACCCCCTCTTCCTCAGATCTATCTTCACCAGAACCACTATCAGCCCACTCTGCCTCAGATCCCTCTTCCACGTCAGAGTCATCTACATTAAATATGTCCCTAGCAGCAGAACACTCTCCCACCACCTGTGCCTCAACAAGGTTGTCTGACTGCTCGTTGTATCCCATGAGTCCATCTCCCTTCTCAATTACCTCAGTGTACACAGTAACCACCTTGGTATCGGCTGAATCAACCAACAGCCTCCTCCATCACCTCCTTATCAGATTTAACTTCATGCAGGCCATCAAACATCGTGGATCCCGGCGTCAAGTACCAAATCTTTCGGACGCCTTCATAGTTCAAGTGCACTGTAGCCAATGCCACAAGTCCAAAATAGGACACTTGATCAACATCAATGTTGAACTTCTCAAAAAAAAAAAAAAAGCCCCACATATCGTGGTTCATCACCAGAGAAGTCCATCTCGCCTCCGTGATGGTAGTCAATCTCCATGTATTCAGTCATCTGCATGGTCAAGTATTATAGATGTTGTTATATTGCTTGGAAACAAAGAGACACACCAACATATGCAGCCAACTAACAAATAAACAAGGGCTTTTTCGAGGGATGCAACAAACAACCATAAAATATTATGGTTCACATGTGTTGGTTATCAAAAGATGGGGAAATTTGAATTCCATTCCACTACAATTGACCATTATATCCACCAATTCCAGTTTATTTCACGTTGATACAAGGCCAATTTCGTGAACAATCTGAAATGGTCCCACTGTGGTCCTCACAACCAACTTGCACGAACGGTTTCAAAGAAGCAAACTATAAATAGCGGACAACATGGCATGGCTGGAATCGACACAACCCTAAGCAAACAGAATGGGTAATGTTCGAATTGGAGAATCAGTACTGAAAAC